TGTAGATATTAAGCCTAATCGAGTTCTGGAACAATCGACAAGTAGGATCGATCGGGGGAAAGACAAAGAAATCTAGGTGAGTGCATATGCATAGCATGAATATAGTATTATAATCAGTTCTAGACTTATGATAAGTCTAGATTCAATATTTTGATACATGATTACATTCCATATTATGAAACATGATATGAGTTTATACCATATGCATTATGTGACATGAATATACAGGAAATGATATGTCTATGTGATAAATGTATAAAAATACTATGTCTACGTGATACAAATTATGTGAATTGTGAAAGCCCATGTTATGTAGATGAGAACTATAGGTATAGTTGGCATGCCAAGGGTAGAGGGTCTACGTGGTCCTTCGGTATATATATATATTCTTTGGAACATGTGTGAAGTCTTGTGTGACACATACTTGATCCCTAGTATATGTATATGATTATTAAGGAATGATATGTGGTCCTTATGGACATTATTATATGGCACTACGGTGCAATTCTACGCTGCACTCTGGTGTAATTCTACGTGGCACTTCGGTACAATTATACGAGCTGTGGTAACAGCATAGTGCACAACCTCACAATACTCACATACCTTAGGTTCTCAGTATGGTATCATGGGATAATGAACTTAATAATGTGAACTTATGAATGTGAAATTGGATAAGTCTATATGTAAGAATATGGTTATGGTTATTGCATTGATTACATTCATATTATCATTGCAACTCATCTCATTTTGGCAATTTCTTTATATTTTATGGTTATTATTTTATTGCCTCACTAAGTCGATGACTTAGCGTGTGAGTGTTGCACACGTAGGATTTGATAAAGTAGACGATCGAGGTTAAGCAGCTGGATAACACTACTCCTGCAACTATCAGATCAGAATCAACTTAATAATATGTCATTTTGTTATGTAAATCAATGTTGGCATGTAATAGAAGGTTAAGTTGTGTATGCTCTGAATATTTTGTGAACCTTGTATAAACCTATATATATATGCAGATTATTGTATTTTCTTAATATAATTCAAATGTTTTATTATTTTGTTAAGAATAATGCTTTAAAAAGGTAATGTGACATCTCAGACTCGTATCCGGGTCGGGTACAGATTGGGGGTGTTACATTTAATGGTATCAGAACTATGGTCTAGTCGATTCTAGGCATAAACCAAAGTCTATAGAGTCTTTAAATAGAATACATGTCAACATATAATGAGAACTTCTGATCTGGTATAGTATGAATATGTTGTTTTGCTAATAGAACGATGTGTTTATTCTTATTAGATGTCCGGACATAATAGCTCCCAAAGTGAAGCGGGATAAGATAGGCTCGCTGAAAGCAGTAATTCACCTGCCCTGGCCAGGCAAGGTGAAGAACAGGCATCTCAAGGAGTGCCTGTGCAAGATCAAGATACGTTCTTCAGAACGTTAGACGCTATTCTGACGCGTCTTCAACCTTCTACTCCACCAACTAAAAGAATGAATGTAGCAAAAGAGTTGAGAGGTTTAGGATCTCCTGAATTTAAGGGAGAAGCCGAGGAAGGTCCGGTTGCGGCGGATCTTTGGCTAAATTATTTGAAAATCATGTTGGATGGTCTCCACTGTTCTGAAGTGGAGAAGTTAGATGGAGCTGTCTCGTTGCTGAGGTGTCAGGCGAGGATATGGTGGACGAACATCACCATGAGGATGTCCAATGACCAGTTGACTTGGTCTTTTTTCTTAGATGAAAAACAAGTACATTGGAGATCAGTTCATTCGGCAGATGAAGCAGAAGTTTTTGAATTTGAAACAGATGAATCGCTCTGTATATGAGTATGAGTGCGAGTTCAACAAGCTGAGTAGGTTCGCAGCCGAGCTTGTGTCTACTGAAAAAGATGCTTGTGAATGGTTTGTGAAGGGCTTACGCCCTAGATTGAAAGAGATACTGATAGTATTGAATTTGTCCTCGTTCCAGGAGGTGATCAATCGTGCAAAAGCTCTAGAGAGAGCTTAAAATGAAAGATTCAGGGATTTAAGAGTTCAAACATCAAAGAGGAAAAGTGTTTCTTCCAGCTCAGCATCATCAAAAAGAGGAAGAGATTCGGGATTTCGAACACAAGCTAGATCAGAATCAGTTGCATCCTCTGCTAGAGGAGCAAGTCAGGTAAAACCTAGACAGACATAATCAGTGGGATCTTATGCTGGGAGATCCACTCAGAGTCAAGTGAGACAGTGTCAGCATTGTGGGAAGAATCATTCTGGGTTATGTCGGATGGCTTCTGGAACTGTTTTTGATGCGAAGATGCTGGACATTTTATCCGGGATTGTCCATTAATGGTTGGTGAGCCTGCAACATCTGAGAGAGTTGACTCTGCCTCGCAGAGAGGACGAGGAAGAGGCAGAGGAAGGAACCAGTCTGAATCCTCTGCGCAACATGAAATTCGCTCAACTGCTCGGGTATACAGTTTGAAGACAAGTGAAGATCGGGATGATCCTGATATTATAGTAGGTACTTTTCATCTGTATGATAAATTAGTATTGGTACTGATTGATCCAGGTTCTAATTATTCTTACATTACAAGTAAGTTAGTAAAAGAATTGAGGATCCCCTTAGATGCTACAAGTAATGAGATTATAGTAACTAATCCTTTAGGCCATAGTGCTTGGGTGAACAAAGTCTGTAAGGGGTGTTCCATAAAGATTCAGGGAATTGAATTCCCTGCTAATCTGATGGAATTACCCTTTGACGAGTTTGAAGTAATTTTGGGAATGGATTGGTTATTCCGTTACTATGGAGATGTTAATTGTAGATTGAAAAAGGTAACCCTGAAGAGTCCAAGAGGAACAAAAATAAGTGTGATCAGTGAAAGGCTTAATCCTTTTGCAAATGTAATATCAGTGATGTCTGCCAAGAAGCTATTGTTGCAAGGATGTCAAGGTTTTCTTGCTAATGTGATAGATGCCAGAACTAAAGAGAAAGGATTAAATGAGATTCCAATAGTTCGGGAATTCTCTGATGTTTTCCCTGCTGAGTTGCCAGGATTACCTCCAGATAGAGATGTAGAATTTCAAATTGATGTAATGCCGGGAACCGCTCCAATTGTAATGACACCTTATCGGATGGCTCCGAAAGAATTGCAAGAGTTATAGAATCAATTGCAAGAGCTGTTAGAGAAGGAATTTATTCGACCAAGTGTGTCGCCTTGGGGAGCTCTGGTGTTATTTGTTAAGAAGAAAGATGGGTCAATGCGTCTCTGCATTGATTATTGACAGCTTAATAAGGTGACAATAAAAAATAAGTATCCCCTCCCGCGCATTGATGATTTGTTTGATCAGTTAAAAGGAGCTTCAGTATTTTCGAAGATTGATCTACGTTCGGGTTATCACCAAGTAAAGATTCAAGAGAAGGACATTCCAAAGACGGCTTTCAGAACGAGATATGGTCATTATGAATTCATCGTAATGTCATTCGGAGTAACGAATGCACCTGCTGCTTTCATGGATCTCATGAACATGATTTTTCAGCCCTATTTGGACCAGTTTGTTGTTGTCTTTATTGATGACATACTGGTTTACTCGAAGTCCATGGAAGAGCATAGCACATATTTACAAACAATTTTGCAAATTCTTAGAGATAAGAAGCTTTATGCCAAACTGTCCAAATGTGAATTCTGGCTAAGGGAAGTAATTTTCTTAGGGCATGTGATCTCTATTAATGGGATTCGGGTGGACCCTCAAAAGATAAAAGCTATAATGGAATGGGAAGTTCCAAAGAATGTATCTGAAGTTCAGAGTTTCCTTGGACTTGCCGGTTATTATCGAAGATTCGTTAAGAATTTTTCGATGATAGTGCTACCCTTAATGAAGTTGATGAGAAAGAACGTACCATTTGTTTGGACTCCTGAATGTCAAGATAGTTTTGAAGCTTTACAGAAAATTTTGACAGAAGCTCCTATTTTGGTTCAACCGGAATCTGGCAAGAATTTTGTAGTATTCAGTGACGCATCTCATAATGGTTTGGGTTGTGTATTAATGCAAGAAGGGAAGGTGGTAGCGTATGCATCGAGACAGTTGAAACCACATGAAAAGAATTACCCCACTCATGATTTAGAAATGGCTGTTGTAGTATTCACTCTCAAGATTTGGCGTCATTATCTTTATGGGGAGCGTTGTTACTTATATACGGATCATAAGAGCCTGAAGTATCTTATGACTCAAAAAGAGTTGAATTTGAGGCAACGTAGATGGGTAGAGTTCTTAAAAGATTATGATGTGATAATTGACTATCATCCCGGAAAGGCTAACGTGGTAGCAGATGCCTTGAGGAGGAAAACGTTTGTAGCCTTACGAGCTATGGATGCAAGATTATCTTTAACTGGAGACGGTGGTCTATGTGCAGAGTTAAAACTTAAACCAGTATGGTTGGATCGAATAGGAGAATTACAAAGCCAAGATGAAATATGTTTGAAAAGAATAGAGCAAGTAAAGAATAAAGAGATTAAGGATTTTGAGATGAAGTTTGATGGGAAATTGTATTATAAAGAAAGAATTGTGATACCAGACGATGAAGAGTTGAAGAAATATAAAGAAAGAATTGTGATACCAGACGATGAAGAGTTGAAGAAAGATTTATTGGCAGAGGCTCATTACAGTCCATTGACGATGCACCCGGGTGGAACCAAGATGTATATGGATTTAAAAGATCGGTATTGGTGGCCAGGGATGAAGCGAAGCATTACTGAATTTGTGTCCAAGTGCTTAACATGTCAGCAAGTCAAAGCCGAACATCAAGTTCCGTCTGGATTATTACAACCACTTTCCATTCCACAATGGAAGTGGGAAATTGTAATGATGGATTTTGTTTCGGAGTTACCCTGACTCCAAACAAAAGAGACTCAATTTGGGTAATTATTGATCGATTGACCAAGTCAGCATATTTCCTTCCCGTCAGAATAGATTTCTCTATGGAAAAATGTGGAACTGTATATTAGAGAAATTATTAGACTACATGGGGTGCCTGTTTCTATAGTTTCTGATCGAGACCCTCGATTCACTTCAAGATTCTGGAAATCCTTGCATGGAGCGTTGGGGACTCGCTTAAACTTTAGTACTGCCTTTCATCCCCAAACAGACGGACAATCAGAAAGAACTATTCAAATATTGGAAGATATGTTGCGAGCATGTGTCATTGAGTTTAAGGGATCGTGGGAGAAATATTTATCACTGGCAGAGTTCGCTTATAACAATAGTTACCAGTCTAGTATCAAGATGGCACCTTATGAGGCGTCCTTAGACAAGATGGCACCTACATTTTTCCAGACAAGATAGGCCCGACTATGGCTGTCCTTAGACAAGACATTCATCAAAACATCCAGGTTAAAAGTAAAACTAAAACACTGCATAGTTGAAGAAAGAACTTAATTTCTTCGTAGTTGACAAGAACACCCAATCTTCCACTTCATTTGTCTTTATTTTTGTCATTTAACCAGTTTTTACATGGGCAGTTTTGTCCATGGGAAAACTCCACTATTTATGGATTGACTGAACTGCCTCTCTTCTATTCATTTTTTAGAGATTGGAGATTCTTTTGGAATCGGATCCTACAAAGTATTCGAATTTGATTGAGATGTTGAAAAAGGAAGAGAGTGAAGGGAAAGCAAGAAAGGGTAGCAGTTGCAGTAAAGCCTTCCTCTGGCTTACCAGGTAAGCAGAATATAGATATATGTCCCACATGAATATTTTCGAATTTATTTCTTTATATGTAGAGAGAGGGGACCATGCATCATACCATTACCACGAATTTATCCATAGCTAGTGAAAATCTGAATAAAACTTTTCTCGAGTAATCTAACTTCTTTACAGTTGATTCAGCTTTACTTTACCAAAACATGCATTGGACACGAATTCGAAACACAAGTTACTTCAAGAAAAATGAAAAACCAAACCAGCCTTGTCTTTTGGGTCTAACATAAACTCGTTTCCCTTTCAGATCCATGGATTTTATGGTAGCTTTATTACAAAGATTGGTGAAGGAACCTGAGCAGAACATGGAACAAGTAGTTCAAGAATCCTATAATGTTACTTTGAAGCCTAGGCATGGATGGATCTCGTCGGCTGCTTTTATGGTATTTAGGCATTCCTGCTCCAGTTAACAGCAACTGACATGTTTTTTTAGGTAATGTTGAACATTTTCTTTTAATTTAACATAACTAACAGAATTCAAGTTCACATGTAGCTCTAAAACTGGTGCCGTATAACAAGACATTCACTAGTCTCCTCTTGAAAAAAGATCAAAATTACGACAACCTTAAAGAGGATATGCAGACATTGATCTCATTACTCGTGCCTTTACTAGAACATATCCACTCTATTCTGGTGAGGATTATCAATCGATGTTTGTAGACGCATCATCCGGCTTCTTCTTCATCGTTTTAATGCTTTATTTTCTCAATATATGCAGAGGTTTTATCGATTGGATAGGTTAAAGTCTAGGTGAGGAAAACCTTTTCCCCTTAAGAGAGGCAAGAACAGGCATACGAAGTTCGGTTCCTCTTTTGCTGGACATATACATCAGTACATAGCCTGATAGCCTTGTAAATTGTACGCCAAATCTGCTTTAAAAGCTACTTTTTTTTTCTAACGTATCCTTGTAAATTGACGGAATAGTAATGACAAATATAAAATAATGAAATAAAGAATCCAAAAATAAATATTACTTAGAACCCCCCCAAAAAAAACAGGGAAATAAGTAAATTGCAATTTCATGAAAAATAAAAGGTTCAGGTACCAAGCTGAAAAGAGCTACTAAATTGAAGGACTAAATGTTGGTTTATACCAAAACAAAAGCCGTAACTATCGGCAGTGATCTTGCTTGGTAACTTCTTTTACTTCTAATAATTAATAATCTTATGTGTATATAAACATGACAACGAATGTAAATATTACTTGTATACTGGGGGTGTATATAGTAACATTATGATTTTCACCTGTTCATAGGTGTGTTGTATATACATTTACAAAACCCAGCAAAATTTTGCAGTTTTAGTAGGGATCTTGCTCTATACATTCTCAAATTAAAAAAGTATGGAGATCATGTTCCCCCTCACCCCTACTTCTTTACCCTAGAAACAGATCGTCATCCAAACCAAGCAGTTAAAGAGGGGCAGGTGGAAAAGGAAAATCTAAGACTAAAATTTGCTGTACATGCAAAGCATCTATGGTATTGTACGGCTAAAAGCTATGTTGATAACTCCAATTGCAATGAACAGCTGCAGATACTATCTAGCAGTTTTATTCCGGGCTTGGATATGGTCACGTCTCTTGCTGGTGGCCACCAAACCACTGTCGCTAATGCTGCCTCCTACAACATTATCGCGAGCTTCAGAAAATTACCTATTCCATGAATTCAAGGGGACAAGATAACTGTCATCCTTGGGGTTCCTCCGCCGCTCCACTTCGTGGCATTTCACATTTTCCGATATCTGATGGAAGGTCTTATTTATTTTAGCAATTCCCCTTTCGACTAGCTAAAAGGGTTTATTTTTGAAATCTTATGCAATCACTTCTTTCCGATTAATTTATTTTTTGAATCTCAAACTAAGATTCCAGATACGTTTATTGCAATTGGTTTATTTTTCTTTTACCTGCAACGACAGTTTTTATCTCCTTCCGCTTTGTTACAGACTCCAAGTGAGTCATTATTTTTTCTCACATTTATTTTTATTTTTCAATTATATTTTCAAAATTTGTCTTGATATATAAAGATTCAAGCTCAATCTTGATTTAATCTTATGCATTAGTTGTTTGAGCTTTAATTTCGGATCGTCTTAGTTATTGATATTGTTTGTTTTAGCATTTTTTAGGATAGAGCTAACAATTCATATTGTTGTAAGTTGCAACGTGTTTATTTATTCATTTATTTTTTTGTTATCTTTTTTTTTTTCAAATAAATTTTGATTTAACTTCTTTCTTTTACTTGATTTTTCTTTTACTCAGCTTATCCCAACGTAATCACTGTTGGCCAACCAATCTCTGTTGATTGAAGAGGGAGAGGCGCTCTGAATCCTGTTCGTAATAAAAAAAATACTGGTAACTTTTGATTTAAATATGCAAGTCATTTATTAAAAATTTAGTCTAAAGTTTTTTAATTTATCTAATTTATGATTCAGCTTTATGTTTAGCTTTCGTAGTCGTTTCTGTGGAAAAGACTGCCAGAAAAATCTTATTCAATGACAAAAATTTGCTTTGCTTGTCTCCAAAAATGTTACTTGACTGTACGTGTCCAACCCCTCCACCTCAGATCTACGATATTCACAAGGCGTTCGAATGACAATTTTGTACAGACCGAACATGATTATCCTTGGGTTGGTGTAAAGGGTATTTGTACTCCTAAAACTGAGGTACTCTATCATATATGAATGCATATTAAATTTTATAATCAGATATAATTATTTAATCACTGTATCCTATATATATTTTTAAAATCAACACATATGCTATGGTTAATGGATGGAAAAATGATAAATTTTGTGTGTTGTTGTAATTGTAGTCTAGCTAAGGATAAACTCATATGCCCCAATTAGAGGAAAGGAGCGGGAGAAGATTATGGAAATAGTTTATGTTCATCCTGTAGCATTCATTTATGCATTTTTTTATCGTATTTGAACAAATTACCTTTAAAGTTGCAAGTTATATTAATGAATTTTAAGTTGTTATTATTGTTGTTTACTTTTTTTGCATTCATTTGTTGTGTTCGAATAAGTTTATTTTTTGTGTTTGTGTTGTTATTTTATGTTCATTTATTATGTTCGTTTATGTTCGTTCGTTTGTGTTCGTTTATGTTTGTTCGTTTGTGTTCGTTTACGTTCATTTATCGTTTAAATGAACGAACATGAACAAACTATATTCCTTAATGAACAAACATGAACAAAAAAAAATTCGTTTATGTTCATGTTCGGTTATTTGTTCGATTAAAGTTCAATGAACGAACATGAATATACCTCAGTTCGTGTGTGGTCGGTTCATTTACATGCCAGCTCATGAACCTTAAAATATGTCTTGGGACTAATCAAAACTTGTAAACATAATGATTGGATGAAGTTGTTGTAGGTGATGTAAGGTTGTAGGAATTATAGAAATGAGCTGTCAAGAGATTATGTAATTATTTTCTGTTTTTCAATCCCTTATTTCAAGGGATTACATCTCCTAGGATTAGTATCTTTCCTAACTTAGAGTTTCCTAGTTTAGAGGCATAATTTGTATATAAATATGTAATATGTTTCTACTAAAAGTATGCAAGAATAAAATAACAGACTTGTCTGTTTTCTACAGGCTGTTGAAGTCTGTTTTCTTTCTACAGTCTGTTTTCTACACGGTATCATTTTAGAGCGATCAATTCGATTTCCGCTTCTCTTTAAATCAATTCCTGTTCAACTCTATTTTTTTCATGACTAATCGGGATCACTCAGCATTCGAAATCACTTCCCAGACCAGGCCCTCTCAATCTATTTTCAGATTTAAGATTTTCAGTGCAACAGAGGCAAAATCGCCTCTGGTCTGAACATTGTAATAAACCAGGCCATATGATAGATCAATGTTGGAAGTTGCACGGAAAACCAGCCGATTGGCAGCCCACACGGTCCAGGTTTCAAAAGGAGGCTCATATTGCCTCTCAAGATGATTCCTCAAGCAGTTTTAGCAAGAAACAGATAGAGCTGCAGCAGATTTTGAGCAGTATGACAGCCAAGCCTACCAATGTGACTTATACTGCTACTGATGAAAATAATCCATATGCTTCATTGGTACAATGGATAATAGACTCGGGTGCATCAGATTTTATGACAAGAAATATTGATCTATTGGAGGAATATAGTGAAAGCAGCTTACCAGATTCTATCAAAATAGCAGATGGCTCTCCACTACAGTCAAAGGGAGTGGTTCTGTTAAATTAAACAAAAATCTACTATTTCATAATGTCCTCTATGTTCCTAGACTTGCATGCAATTTGTTGTCAGTCAGCAAATTAATTAAAGATTCCGGTTGTAATGTTGTGTTTGGTACTGGTGGTTGTATTTTTCAGGCATAGGGCTCGAAGAGGGTGATTGGCAGTGCTAGGCTGGGCAAAGGATTATACACCCTTGGAGGTAAAGCATCTCATAATCATGCCTTATCCAATGCTCTTAGGAAACCAATTTTATCTTCTGATCTTAATACCAATAAAATTATGTTATGGCACTCTAGATTAGGTCATCCTAATTTTTTCTATCTTTCCAAAATGTTACCGAACTTGTTTATAAATAAAGATTCATCTTTGTTTTCCTGTGAAACTTGCCAAATAGGCAAACACACCAGAAAACCATATATTGCAGCCAAATTTGAACCAACAACACCTTTTTCCATCATCCATAGTGGCATTTGGGGCCCTTCTTTTGTCAAAAGTATTTCTGGGTATAAGTGATTTGTGTCTTTTATAGATGATTATTCTAGGACAACATGGGTATTCTTAATGAGAGAGAAGTCTGAGGTTGAGTCTCTCTTTAAAAGTTTTTATCAAAAAGTTGAAACCCAATTTGACACAAAAATCAAAATTCTAAGGAGTGACAATGGGAGTGAGTATATGAATAAAACCCTTGGGTATTTCTTTAAGGAAAAAGGCATTGTTCACCTTACTTCTTATGTCAACACACCTCAACAAAATGGGGTAGCAGAAAGGAAAAATAGACATCTTCTAGAGGTTACTAGGTCTCTTATGTTTGCTGCTAATGCTCCCAAGAATCTTTGGGGGGAAGCTCTTCTTACAGCCACTTACCTCATCAATAGAATGCCAAGTAAAACTTTAGATTTCAAAATTCCTACTAAGGTTCTGTTTCAGCTTTTTCCCCATTTTAAACATTTAAACTCAAGTATTTCTCCTCGGGTGTTTGGGTGTACAACCTTTGTTCATATCCACAACAGAGGGAAATTAGATCCTAGGTCCATAAAGTGTGTTCTTGGGCTATTCTTCAAGTCAGAAGGGTTACAAGTGTTACTCACCTTCCACAAAAAGCCCTATGTCTCCTTTGATTTTACATTTTTTGAAAACCAACCTTATTTTTCAGGAACAAAAATTCAGGGGGAGAGTTACAAGGAATTTCAGCCTGTTCAAACCAATATTTCTTTACAACCTATCCTTTCTTTACCTATTATTGTCTCTCCAAAGCCGCCTAGCACTGTCCCAGTTCCTAGTGAGGGTGATGGGAATAACCTAAATAACTCTGATGAATTACCATCCTCTTTATCTCAGCACTCTAGTTCGTGCAAAACACCTTCCACCACTACAAAAAATGCACCCGAAACGATATCTCCCCAGCCGAAACAACTCAATGTTTACTCAAGAAGAAGGAAAGATGCTGAAGAAATCAGTCAGCCTAGCATTTGCCAAGAACCAGATTCGGATCCTGTTGCAGCTGAAACAGAAGGTAATGATTGTTACCAAGAGGCTACTACTGTTGATCTTGATGACTTTCCTATTGCTATTAGGAAGGGGGTAAGAAAATGCGTTGTTCATCCCATAAATAAGTATGTTGCATATGGGAAATTACAGTCTAATTTCAGGGCCTTCACTGCCAACATTAACAGT